GAAGATGATTGCTAGTGTATCACGCGTGAGGAATATGTCATCAATCTGAATACTTCAGCTTTCTTATTTTCCTATAAATCAACAACGACCAAAACAAAGAAAATATATCCAATGTTATATATTCCCATGCTGCAAATTTTATCAATTGATAAAAAAAAAAAAAAGTGAGGACGTATTTTTTACCTTGGAGTAGTTTTTCCAGGGGAAAAATGTCGTTTAATAGCCCAACTTTCAAAAAATGGCCATTTTAACTTCGAACTCTGTAAATGGCCATTTTATACGTGAACAAAAAGTTGACCAGCCATTTGAACCAAATAAATGTGTTGACCAGGCCGAATCGACACACCGTTAACACTCGCTAACAGAACCGCTAACACCCGTTAGCAGCCGTTAAGGAGTCTCCGTCTGTTATGAAACGACGTCGTTTTACCCTAAACTAAACCCCCAAAATCGAGAGATCAAATCCCTAAATTTCAATTCTCTGAACTTTCAATCTCAATTTTCAACGTTCCCAATTTCGATTCTTTGAACTTTCAATCTCAATCTTCATCGAATTCTCGAGAGTGAGCTCAAGAAATGAGTTGCAATTCTGGAATTTCTTCTGTTAAAGATGGTGGATGTGGGTTTCGTGGGTTTCCGTCGAAGTGTCATTGCGGGTTAGACGTCGTCATCTATACATCGGCGACGAAGCAGAACCCTGGAAGACCTTTCTTCCGCTGTCCAACCAAACAAGAGGTAAGTAGATTCGATTTTATATCTACTTGGGTTTCGCAGATTAAACATAATCTGTTGTAAATGCACAGGATCATTTGTTTAAATGGGTCGAAGATGGTATATACGAGGAGGTTGTCGATGCTCTTCCAAAATTCTCCATCATTGACAGAGAGATAGACAATGCCAAATCTGAAGTTGCTGTCGAGATTGAAGAGTTAAAGGTCATGATCAAAGAATTGAAGGAAGAAGGACTGTGGAGCAAAAGGGAAATAAAGAAATGGAAAATGATGATCAAAGTGTGTTTAGTAAGCCTTTGTGTTGCTGTCATTGTCTTTGTTATCCTACTGTTTGGTGTTGGAGACAAAAGACAGAATTTAGTTCTTGGTTCCTAGTTGTGCATTAGTGTCTTATTTGGTTTGTGTCTTTGTCTTTGGTCTTAGTTCATGTTTCTCTCGTTTGTGTCTTCTCTTGTTTTAGTTTTGTGTTGTGTCTTGTATAAGTTTCTATGTTTTGCAATGAAACATGTTTGGTCTTGGTTCATTATCAAACATGTTTGTATTTTAGTACTGAAAATCACTAGTTAAGAGAGAACCAAGAGACTAGTTTCAGAAACCATTCATACATTACAAGAATGCCATGTCATAAAGACAAGTTCAAACAACAAAAAAGAAATCCGAGACTAAGATAATGTCTTAAAGACAAGTTCATACAACAATAAAAAAGCCGAGACTAAGCTTATGTCATAAAGACAAGTCAATTATGTCAAACAACAAAAAGATACCCGAGACTAAGCTTAAGTGGAACAGTCAAACCATGAAGCCAATCTACCAAGTCCTTGTGGTTCTGCTTGTGCTTGGGGTTGTGCTGCAGTTCCATGTCGTCGATCAGCTTGTGATCCTTGTGGTTGTGAATTTGATGTTCCTTGTCCTTGTGAACTCGATGGTCTTTGTCTTTGTCTTTGTGATCCTTGTCCTTGTGAACTTGATGCTCCTTGTCTTTGTCTTTGTGAACCTTGTGATCTCTGTACATGTCCTTGTGATCCTGCAACTTGCCCTTGTGATCCTGCTACTTCTCCTTGTGATCCTGGATAAGTTTCAATAGCTTGTGCTTCCTAATTCAAATTTTACAGTCAGTTTTATGCAACAAAACATAGCAAAATAGATACAAAGAAATACAAACCTCATATTTCCTTGGTCTCCCTCTTGGTCTTTTTTGTACACGCAGAACAGTAGCATTTTTACATGTGGCCTTGGTGTGTCCTTCTTGCTGGCAGTTAGAGCATGTCATGATTCTCTTTTCTCTTGACATCTTGTTCTTATTTGAAGAAGCTGCAGATTCATTTCTTCCTTTCTTTCTTGCATAGTTACTTGGCCTTCCCGAGTTACCTCTTCTCCATGGTGGTGGCAAGACAGGCAACTTCTGCAATCTAGGCCACAATGGCATCCCTTGGACAGGTCTGATACCATCTCTGTATGTTTCTCGCCACCTTAACTTTGTGTAATAATCATTGACATAGTCTTCAACTTTCTCCTTTCTTCCTATTATCACACATGTTGCATGAATACATGGGATCCCAACCATTTGCCACTTTCTGCAGCCACAAGTCTTCAAATCCATATCAACAAAGTAGCCAACCCCATTATGATATATCTCATGCAGGTTGTTTCTCGACATATATCTCTCACAGCTTTGTGCCCCAACAATCATCCTTTCAATCTCAGCATGAGCTCTTGGTGTGAACCTAGTCTGCAACTTGTCTGCAATGATATACCTTTTAGCTGTTCTGACCATGCACTGCCTCCTAATGTCCTCTAGAAGATCCAACAATGGCTTCCTCCTGGCTTGTCTAATAGTCCTATTGAAAGACTCACTGAGATTATTGAGGTTGTCATTGCAACATGTACCTGTTCTAAAGAATGCTCTAGACCAAGTCATCGGACTAGTTAGTTGCAGAGAGTTATGAGCTTGACGATTATACTTCTTTAGATCCTCCATGTGATTATTGAACTCTTCTATGGTGTAGCTGCGTGCTATCTTCCAAAATAGACGTTGCAGCTCAATGTCATGGCTGTCTCTTTTCCAATTATCCATGATGTGTTTTGAACATTGTCGATGCTCAGCTTGTGGGAGAATGGTATGGATAGCCTTGACTAGACCCTGCAAAAACAGAATAAAAACAAGATAAAAACAGAAGCTTAATTCCCAAACTTGCAGAAAACAAAACAAGAGATATATGCAAAACAGATACTAACCGATTGTTTATCTGAAAGGATGGCTAGATCAGACATTTGACAAAGTCCCAAACTTGCAGAAATCTGTCTCAGAAACCAGTCCCAGTTGTCATCGTTTTCAATCTCTACAACTGCCCAAGCAATAGGCACAATCCGATTATCCCCATCTCTTCCAACTGCGGCTAAGAGATGTCCTTTTATGTCCCATTTCAGAAAAGCTCCATCTATTCCTATCACAGGTCTACAAGTTTGTTTCCATGAATCCCTTTGAGCTTGAAAACAAATATATAACCTATAGAACCTCTGCTTGCTTCCAATCACTGGCCCTGCAATTGTCTCTATGTTGAATTCTGTCCCTGGATTCCGAGTTAAAACCTCTGATTGATAATCCCAGATTCTTGCAAAATGAATATCATGACTAGCACGTTTTTCTCTCAACACTTTAGTCTTTGCCTTAGCACACTGATCCGGAGTCACTTCCAACTTGTATTCTCTCTTGATCTCAGCAACCATCTCATGTTTGGTGAGCTTTGGATTCACTCTCAGCCTTTCTTCAAATAAGAATGCAATGGTTGATCGCTTCAACATCTTTGAATATCCAGACCTCACACATATATGCTCATTGACATAGGTTCTTATCTGCATCTTATGTTTCGTCTTCTCATAAGAACAATAAACTCTCCACTGACATTTAACACCATCATCACGAATATAGACACACTTCGCAGCAACAACCATAGCCTCAGATCTATAGAGTTTAATGTCATACCTTGTCTTTAAAGAGTACATCAAAAGAGCAAGCTTGAAGTCCTCAGGAGAGTTGAAAGTCTTCTTCAGTGCTAGGATGGTCTCTGGATCGTCAACATCAGTACGAGCTTCCTCTTCTACAGCTCTGTCTTCATCATCATCGTCGGATGACAGAAGATCTGGAATCTTGTCGTCGTCCCATATATCGTCTCCGCTGTCACAATCACTAGCAGCTTCATACTCTCTATAATCCTCTGGGAAATCTTTTTCGATGTCAAGGTTAACATCTTCTTCGACACCTAAACCACCATTATCGTCTTTATCTCCACCACCTACAACATCATCAACATCATCACAGTCTTCATCACCATACACCGCGCAGTCGTCTTCAATGTCAGGCTCAGGATCAATTTCGGGCTCTTCATCCTCCTCTTCAACTCTGACTTTCCTTCGTTTTCTTCGTCGACCTGGAGCACGAGCTTCAGCTTCATCTCCCACAACAGACTCTGAAACTACATTCGTTGGAGCTTCCTCTTCTCTACCACAAGACTCTGATACAACATTGGTTTGAGCTTGCATTCCATCTCCGATACCATCTTCTTCGCCTCGCGGTGGTGCTTCAACTCCATCTCTCATAGAACTCTCAGATTCGCCAAGCATTGGAGAGCCCATCCTCAAAATGACGCCTTTGTGTCTAACTTTTGGCATTAGGGAAGATGAAGCTCAATTTGGGTAAAATCGGAGATTCG